TAAGGCTGTGAGTTTGTCTTGTGACTGTCTTGTGAGCTTTTGTCCATACACCAAGTAATACCAGGGTTCCTTTTAAAAGCTATATGGTCCCTGTTTAACCAAAACAAGCCCTGTGTCTGCATCAATGGCACAAAGTCAAGCTTGTTCTCAGTGCAGGTCGGACACTGCCCTTGGTCTTCAATCTTGTTTGTGGTGTTCATGGATCTGAAGCTGCAGTTGTGGAGAGGAGAATGTCTGATTTTGGAAAGCTCAGGGTCTCATATCTGCTTTTTCTAGATTAAGTGGTTTTGTTGGCATCTTTAGAGTATGACCTTCAGTTTGTATTGGGGTGGTTCACAGCCAAGTGTGAAGTAGTTGGGATGAGAGCAAGCTCCCTAAAGTTTTAAATGGTAAATGGATTGTACTTATATAGCGCCTTTCTATCTTATGGAGATACTCAAAGCGCTTTACACTACAATCTGTGCCCTCATTTACCCATTCATACAGCACTCTGCTACATCTCTACAAAGCTAATTGAACAAATCATTCTAAAGAGACTAATCAGAGCTTTATCACATTCATACACCGATGGGACACACATCGGAGGCAACGAGGGGTTCAGTGTCTTGCCCAGGGACACTTTGGCATGTGACTGCTGGTGGATTCGAACCCCCAACTCTTGCATTGGAGGACGACTGCTCTAACTACTCAGCCACAGCTGCCCTGTGGCCACAGTCCTCAACAAGAAAAAGATTAAATGATCCCTCTAGGTTAAGACTGAGTATCTGTCTCAAGTGAAGCAGTTCAAATTTATGAGTGATGGGGCAGGAGATGGATCATTAGACCAGGATTTGGTCCACAGTAATGAGGGTGTTGCTTCAGTATGTTGTGGTAAAGATGGAGGTGAGCTAAAAGGTCATGTTCTTGATTTACTTTAATTTTTCCTTAGTTGACATTACCACCCTCAACTAAGGACATTATGGTAAATCACGACAGAAAGAACGTGACCCCGGATACAAGCAGCTAGCATGATCTCCCTTTTTAATGTTCAGGGCATTAGAAACAAGGTGAGGAGCATGGTCAACAGAGAAGAGCTCAAGCTGCTGCTCGTCCATGATCACAGGAAGTCAGCTGATGTGGTTTATTCTTCTTATTAGGATGCCACCTGGACATATCCCTCTGCAGGATTTCCAGGCTTGTCTCACTGGGAGGGGAATCTGGGGCCAACACAGAACTCCCTGTAATTACTACTGTATATATTCTCTTGAGCCCGGGAATGTCTTTGGATCCTCCAGAAAAAAGTACATTGGCTTTGCCACTCCATCTGATGGACATCGTACTTTGAACAATGGTACAAATGTGTCTCTTTTGCTTTACATGTAAAAATGTTTCATATTTCAAGTCACTTTGATTTCATACTCTTCCTGGATAAAAAGAAGAAAATTGATGGATGTCTCCAATACCACACGTTTTATTATCTACAAAAGTACAATAAGAGATGTGAGAGGAGAATCTCAAAATGTGACCTTGTCTAGTAATTTTTTTTACCTGATTTGACCATGTTCAGTTTAGCTTTTTTTTTTTATTGTTTGTGTTTGTATGACTGTTGCTGCAACCATCCAACACCCACATTTTTAATATTATATATCCAGCAAAATATGATAGAGCCAAAACAAATAAATACCTATGCTCTGTGGAAAACATTAAACAAATTAAAGCAAACTGTCCTGATGCATGCTCAATAATCCAGGTAGATAAATCTAACAAGGTTAAGTCAGGTCCTCTGGATGGATTCTTCTTGTTAAAACATTTTGTGTTTTATCCAAATGACTTCTTCAGTCTGAGGAGCTGCAACAAACGTGGTCTTATAAGCAGCACCTCCTCATTGCAGATCATCCAGTTTGCTGGAGACATCCAGAACTAGTAGTTCATGTGCAAAAGGAGAACCATCAGCCTAACTAGTGACCTGATGGCACTAACGATCAATCGTTAGGCTGATGGTTCTCCTTTTGCAGCCTTTTTGCCACACTTTTGTTTTAGTACAAAGAGACATTACATAAGTATGTAAAACCGGAGAGAGAGAAAACGAGAAGTTTTGGGAGAACACGCTGGAAAGACAAGGAATAGTTGACAATTCTGCCTGAGGTGATTTGTTTGTTCATTCTTAATCATCAAGGTAGTAAATGATAAATACCTGTAGGTTAAAAATTATGGTCAATTGTTGATGTTATATATTTAAATCCATGTTTTATGTTATTATTTTTAGACTTTTAGTTGTTCACCCATAATCTTCTGTCAGCGGGCACCGGGCAAGCAAAATCCTACCGAAGGTACAGACCCAGCTACTGAATGAATGGGTGAGACAGATCAATTTTGCAATTGAGGCTTCAGAGGCCAAAGAGCACATCCAACAAAAACTAACAACACGCTTAGATCAGACCACATTTCAGCAAGTAATGGATTTCAAAGATAAAGCACAGAATGTCTGGTCCAAGAACCGAAAACAAAAGAAGTTTAATTAACTGGTAACTCGTCAAGCCCATCCCAATTCCAATAACAACATATTCAGTTAAGACAACACACCGGTAAACAGTCACATGCCAGAGAAACAGAGAAGTGGGTGAAGAATTTATCTGACAGACAGCTCACCCAGCCGGAGACAGAGATTCTTGCCAGGGCACTGAACTTTGCGGTTGCACCAAGAAGAATTCCTCTGGTGGAGATGATCACAGCCACTTAGTCAGCCATCCACAATAACAGAATTACAGAGTTTGAAGCAAAACAACTCAGGAAAAAAGTTTCAGCCTGCCTCAGCAATGCCAAACCACCACTTTCCAACATCAGTAGAGAGGTGAGGGATGCACTCACCACTCTCAGCAAGGACAAAATCATAATCATCCTTCCAGTAGACAAAGGAAGGTGCACAGTAATTTTGAACCAGAACGACTATCATGAGAAAGTTATGACACTCCTTAGTGACTTAACCACTTATGAGCCACTGAAAAGAGATCCAGGAAGTAGTTACAAGAAGAAGTTACAAGACTCTGCAGTCTATGGTCTGCAGGCCAGTGGTCACTTTTTCAGGGATGAAGGTGTGCCCATCCTTGATAGAGAGGAATGATGATTTGAAAGAGGACTGAAGGAAGCCATCTTTGTGAAGAGAAACCATCCATCATTAAACAGGGGTGGATGCCTCTGTGTCCATTTGTCACCTTCTTACAATGTTGTATTGCTAATATCACTAAACCCTCTGTGACTAGCAAGTGGCCATCAGGGCACTAACGATCTGTTAAGCTGATGGTCCTCCTTTATCATGTGAACAACTAGTTCTGGATGTCACCAGCAAACTGGTTGATCCACTATGAGAAGGTGCTATTTATAAGACTGGGTTTATTGCAGCTCCTCAGACTGAATAAGTCTTTTGGATAAAATCTCTTTCAAAGCCGTCCAGAGGACCTGACTTAACTTTGTTAGAGGTTCCACCATATTGCATGGGTTTGCTAGCATGTGGACAGCGTGTCCACATTCCAGTAGTTTCCACGTGAAACCTCAATTTGTTTGTTAGTTTTTTTTACCTTATCTTTTGTAAAACAAAGTAATTTGGGTTAAGAACAAGAACTTTTTAATGCAAAATTTACAGTTTGCACACATAATGTTACGTGGCAAAGTGATGACTTTTGTGCTCTTTTTGTGTTTCCAGTAGGTACCACTGATGTATTTGCTTTATTTTACTGTCTTTTTTTTTGTACATATTTATGGAACCTTCTTTTTGTTGTCTTGCCGAAACGAATTAAACCAGAAACAAAGAGTCCACATTTAAAGAGACATAAAATTTGCATTTGGAGTGTGTGATCATTCAACCCTGGCTTAAAAAACCCTCATATTTTACAACAGTGATTAGCCCTTAAGGACTCTTGGGACGATAATGTTCTAGAATTGCGCCGCTCAAGGCGGCTGCATGTTGGAGCAGCTCTGTTACTTTCATTCTGAGATTTTGGTTTTGAAAACTTTAATTCCTCTTTTTCTGGATGTAAATCACATTTTTGGGATGATTGTTTCCTCTGGTATCAGATGCTGTGCAGCTGGAAGGACTTTTACTGAAACTTTTTTTAGTTTTGGACATTTGTTATGATGCGTAACCATGGCAACAAGGCAGTTTCTACAACCAACAGCAGCTGATTAACATCTCAAAAGCTCAAATAATATCTCAACTACAGCCCCAAATCTCAAATGAGTTGAAAAGGATGTTCTGTGGACGCATTCTCATCTACCTGCCAGCTGTGCTCGAGTGCCTGACCACTGAGATCCTGGAACTAGTAGGAAACATGGCTCATGACAGCAGAAGGACAGGATCGTCCCTCGGCACCTACAGCTGGCCGTCTGCAGCGATGAGGAGCTCGGCAGACTGCTGCAGGTGGTCCTACAGCCCAGGGGAACCGAGAGGCCAGCTGAGTCTGGGTGGACAGATCGGACAGCATCTGCAACCAGTTTCTTAGGATCCACTGTGGGATGGACCTTTACAAGAGATCCTTCCTGTCTACAACCATTAGTATCTATAAGATCTCTTAATGAAATGACGATAACGAGTTACAACAACAAATAATTTCCCTCTGGGATTAATAAAGTATTTTTGAATTGAATTGAATTGAATAACGGTGGGCGTTGGACTTTAAGTTTGCTTTTCATATACAGCAAATATTTTAGTTGCTTTGTTTTGGAATGAGTTAACCAATTAAATGAACAGTTACAGTGTTGTTTGACAACAGTTGTATTTATTTTCATGAAGAAATTATGAGACTGATAGAAGCTTGTCTAGTTGGTTGTGCTGGTGAAGGTTAAAGTTCAATGGTGTTACAAGTAAACTCATATTTTATTGTTATGCTTTTGTGACTGAAACATTTGGTGTGTTTTTTCTGCTTTATTTTGGTGGCAAAATGCAGTTTTCCTTTTGTTAGAGTTGTCTTGAATTATTTTGTATGACGTTTAAACTTTTACCGACATCTTCTGACAGCCTCTCTTACCTTTTGTCACACTTCTTGTAGTTGCTGTGCTCATCTTTCCCACAGTTCCCAAAAGCGTTCCCTGCTGCGTTGACATCCTCAAAGCAGGCGTCGTGAGCTGGTTGAGCTCCTGGAAACACAAAGTTCCCCCTTCAGTCTTGTGGACTGGAGTGGTTCAGACTTGCTGTACTAACAACTTTAGCCATGTTTTCTCCACAAAGAGTAAATGCTAACGTGCTGATCATACGTGTTGAATCAATTATATGTGAAGGGGATGTGTCCCCCTCACATAAAAAAAAAACATTAATTTGAGACCCCCCACATTTACCATGAGATATTAGTTCACCCAGTGCTGTTTCTATTTCTTCAAGAACAAATTAATTCCATTTGATTAATAGGATAATTCTGTACTCAAACCACTAAAAGTCCAGTCCAGGTTTTCCTGGTTACCTACAAGAACTCACCACACTGCATGCAGTGTTTCCCCAAGGTCACTTGGCTTGGCAGGGTGTTCATTTCTTATGTTTATTTTTGTTGACGGGGCAGGGGGAGGAGGGGGAGAGACCTCTCTGTTGCATGCTAGGTTAGTGCTACGTTAGTGCTGGCAGTTGTTGAACTGGGTGGGGTGGGGGGGTTAGGATGCATGAGAGAAGCAGAGGGCTACGTCTGTAGCATCTTACCTAGCGCATCAATATTGTGCGCTGCTAGCTTAGTGCTACATTAGTGCCAGCAGTTGTTGATGGGGGTGTAGGGTGGAGTGGGGGGATGTTTGAATGCGTGAGAGAAGCGGACTGTGCTCTATTCATACAAGGAGAGCTGTAGGTCAGGCTACTTCTTGTTGTGCCATGCTCTCTAAAATAGTTATTGAATCACATGGCAGCCACATACGTAGGTAACGTGGATGTTTAACAACCCGCTAAAATACATCAAAATGCATCTACTTTTTCAAAATTTTATGGGGGAGAATCTCCCCAGACTCACTACCAGTGTCCCCCCCCCCCCCCCCCCCCCCCCCCCCCCCCCCCCCCACACACACACACACACATTAGAAATGCTTCTGACACCAGTGGGGATGATGCACAAGTCCCCTGGCAAAAATAATAAATCAGCCAGTCTGCTGTGTTTTATAAGGATGCAGACGCTTAATAAACATTGTTTCAGACATAAACAATGACATGCAAAATAAATTTATTTCATATTTCTAAAAGAGGAGAAGAGTTGTTTTATTTTCTTTACCGTAGCCCCAGAGCTGCAGGCACTGCTGTTCATGGGTGAGGCACATGCCGTTGTAGCAGTAGGCTAGTCTGTTTTGACATGGGGAGCCATCAAGCAGGTAGACATTGCTGGGGCAGTAAGGGGAGGCCCCAGTGCAGTATTCAGGCAGGTCACATGCCCCCGCTGGCCCCCGGCACATGGTGCCCGCCTGCTTCAACTGACACAGACAGCAAACAAACAATCAGAAGGACAAGGAGGAAAATACACTATTTGAAGTCCAGTCAACTGTTTACAGTCCAGGCAACTATAAAGTGATTTTCTGTCAAATAGCTATCAATAGTTGGTCCCTTAAGAGTCAAGTAAAATGCATAAAACTGAGTTTGTATCATGTTCTGTGGTATGTTGAACCCAAGTGCAGAAAGACACTGGAAAAAAAATCAAAGGTAAAATAAAAGATTCTAAAACAAAAGGCTGACGTGGCAGCAAAACTTACAAATCACAGGAGCAGGGAGACATGGAGGAAGACAGAGCATGACGGCTATGGGAAGCACAATCCACAGACAGGGAGGAAACACAATGCCACTGAACTTAAAAGGACACTAACGAGACAGTGTTATGAACACCTGGGGCGAATGGAATTGGAACAGGTAAATCAGGAGCTGACAACATGAAGGAAGAAACACTGGGGAAGGCAGGAAACATACGAATCTAAAGAAATGACACAAGACAGAACACAGATTCTCACTGTTTGAAGAAAGAGGCAAGTCAAACCCTGAAACTGTCCAATTTATTAGAAAAATGGAAAAGGCACCTTTAAAAACTTGTATCTGTTTTTAGTATTCTACTCCATTATGTGTTTACTAAAATATATTTACTTAATATTATATGCAGAAATAAAAGCTTTGCAGAGAGTGGTGAAGGCTGCACAGAAGTCTGTTGGAGTCAGTCTCCCTACCATCACAGACATCTACACCTCCAGATGCAGGAAGAGGGCCACCTGCATCATGAAGGACCCCACTCACCCAGCACACACTTTTTGCCCCACTCCCCTCAGGAAGGAGGTTAAGGAGCATTAAGTGCAGAACCACTAGACTGAGGAACAGCTTCTACCCTGAGGCTGTTAGACTCATGAATCTCTAACTAGAATAATCACTGTGAAAAACCATATCATGTTGCTGCTGATCTGTTTCATGTTGCTGCTGATCTGTTTCAATGTTGATGTGTTCATGCGTGCACATCTGCTCACAGACTCATGTTCATGTTTGTGCTGATGTTCAACGTTTTATGTTATGAGTGCTTAGTGTATATTTAGTTGATGTTTTTCTTAGTTCATATCTTAGATGTTATTACTGTTTTTCTTATACATTTTATTGTTGGATGTAACTGGGACCTTGTGTACATAATTTCGCTCCACCACATGTACCACATGAGGTGCGAATGACAATAAAGAATCTCTTACTCTCTCTGACTATATACACTGTATTTGTCAGTACTGGTAATTACATTCTAGCCAGTTCACTTAGAACAAGTCTCTCTTGAGAAAAGACCTATGACAAAAACGAGATTATGTGTACATAGGTGAAATGAATACAGAAAAAAATAGTGTGTGAGTAAAATCAGAAATTTGCCCAGAAATATGAAAAATAAACCAACACTTGGACATGTGCACTGTTTTTAGTTTGGAGTTTGAGTCTATACCCCACCATTAAAATGCAAAAACTAAACTCTTGAACTCAAACAGATTAAACTTTTTAATCTTCGTAGTCAATGCCATAGGAAGAAGGGGTGTGAAAGTGTTTCAGCACCTCGTGATGGATGCCAGAGAACATGTAGGTCCAAATATATAGTTAATTAATTAATGGGGGGGGGGGGGGGGGAGGAATAACAAGGAGTACACCAATGTCCTCTGTCGCTGAAGGATTTGAATAGTGAATGTTTGTATTTGTGGAGATTAGTGTTCTTCTGGACTGTAACTGAACATAGAATGAAAGTAAACCTTAGTGTTTTTGTTACAACATATTCAAGTGGGTAAAAGGTACACAGTATAGAAGGACTGAGGTAGTTAAAAAAAAAAAAAAAAATTCAGAACTAGGAGCCATGGTGGAGCCAGGGGTGGTCAATGGTGGCCTTAGCCTCCCCCCCCCAATAGATTAATCTTTAGCCACCCCACGAGCCACCCCAAGTTTTATTTGAGGTAACTATACTTTTCAGCAATCAAAAAGTAGAACACACAGTTTCTTCAAAGGATAGTGGAGGATGCAACCACACACCAACCTAGCTCCATCTTATATTAGAGATCTTATTGTTCCATATTTTCCTAACAGAGCACTTTGCTCTCAGACTGCAGGTTTACTTGTGGTTCCTAGAGTTTCCAAGAGCAGAATGGGAGGAAGATGTTTCAGTTATCAGGCTCCTCTTTTGTGGAACCAACTTCCAGTTTCTGTCCATGAGGCTGACACATTGTCCAGTTTTAAGACTTTCCTTTTTGATAAATCCTATATTTAGGGTTGGCTTGTCATGCTGTCTTAAGCTTAGACTACTAGAGGACAAATTGACCTCATTTCCTTAAATGAATTGTTAAAATTGAACAGTTTTCATTTCATATTATTTCTATCTTAACATGTGGTACTTGACCTGCCATTGTGTATCTGTTCCTCTCAAACCCAGCCGGTCGAAGCAGATGGCCGCTTGTCCTGAGCCTGATTCTGCTAAAGGTTTGTTCTTCATGAGGGAGTTTTTCCTTTCTACTCTCGCCTTCATGTTTGCTCAAGATGAGAGTTCTGTGATGGAGTTAAATTTAAAACAGTCTGCTCCTCAGATAAATAATGTTAATTATTATTTTTAAATGTGAATGTTTCTGTTCAGTGCCCTGAGATGACTTCTGTTGTGACTTGGCGCTTTATAAATAAACAGAATTGAACTGAAACGTTGGAACCTACTGTAAGGAAGGAGGTTCTGTTTTCGGGTTTTCTGTCAGTTTGTGTACAAGATTACTCAAAAAGTTACAAACAGATTTTCATGAAATTCTCAGGAAATATTAAGGATGTCACAAAGAAAAACTGATTAAATTTTGGTGATCTGGATCACCATCCAGATCCAGGAATGTTTTCAAGGATTCTTATCTGTCTGCACAACATTACTGTATCAGTGACCCTAGGGTCTTGGCAGAGGTGTGTGCTCTCCGAGTGCTTCGAGCTTTTCAAATCATCATGCTCACAATATGCACAGGCAGACGGATGGATGAAGGGTATGTATGTTTAATTTCCAATATTTTAATATCTGTGTGCAAACATTTTCAAATTGCTTAAAAGCCACAAAAAGTGAACAAATTAGTTTAAGGTCATACAATTTTGGCAATCAGTCCAAAGTGTAAATCTTATTTTTAATGTTCATATTCAGATTTGACTAAATGCACCTGCATTATGCATTTCACTGCATATATTTCCCTTGGTTCCCAGGGATATGACTGTGGTATAGTGTTGAAAGGACACTTTCCAAGAAAATCTGCTTGAATTCTCAGGGAATTTATAAAGTTTCAAAAGAATGTGAGTGGTTCATCTGAGAATGCCTTTAGCCAACACTGGTTTTAGAGGCAGACAGTCAGGCATGGCAGCCACAACTTTGAAACCTAATTTGAAATTCACTGCAGCCTTTGAAACATTCTAACTTAATCACTCAGTTAAAAAATATGTTTCTGTACTTTAAGAAACTCAAAATACAAGAATCAGGATACAAACTAAAAACAAAATGTTACATTCATTTGTTTTAGCAATCAAAACAATAAATTAATTTAAAAAGGAAAAATTAAAAAAATGCATGCATAAAAAATTATTCAAGGTCCAAAATACAACCAGAGATGCATAAACCCTGTTTCTTTGTTTTAAACCAGTTGTCAGATTTTATTGAAACTCTCTGAAAGTATCCAATGAATGGACGTCTACAACAGATTAACCTTTGGAGTCATCTGTTGTGACTTGGCGCTATATAAATAAACTGAATTGAAATTGAAATTGAATTAAGATTCAGGATAGTGGACACCACTTATTGACCTTTGCCAACACAAATTTGGTTATAACTTACATCATTTAGCAGATGTTGACCTAAACAAGTAGTTCCGCTAAATTTAAAAAAAAAATCTGAATTTATTCTCAGAATTCAGTGATTAGGGTCAGAATTTAAGAAAAAAAAAATTTTTTTTTGCAAGGTGGACCTAATCCTCTTCAAGATAGTTAAAAAAAAACTTAAAAAAAAATCTATACTACATATTAGTGGATGACACAGAAGTGGCTTTTCACTCCTGTCCTGGTCCCACAGAAAAAAAATCCTGTCCTATCCCACTCCTGGTAACATGACTCCTGCACCCATCCTGCTCCCAGTCAGAATCACTCCCGCTCCTGTACCGCTCCTGCTTATATCTCTTTTAATTTTTAGGAAATATATTGAATTTGATTTATTCTTCTACCCATTCCTCATTACTCATTTTATATTACTTTGTGTTTTGCAGTTTAATTTCAAAAGATATGACAACAGAAACAGTTTATCTGTGGTGAAATAGAGAGGCATTTATCGCCTAAATCCAAACAAAAGCCTTCACTAAAAGGCACAAAACAAATAATACATGGCCTGTAGTGCCTATAAAAAATTTAAGTTCAATAATCTAGGTAGATAACAACAAAAATGGTTAAATCATGTCATCTGAACCAGTTTCTTTATACGAAAATGTGAAATGTGTGGTTCCTATAGTTTTTCTACAGAGGATCAGCTGCTGAGTCCCTGTTTCTAGCTCTTTTGGAGGTCAGTTACAGTAAAAATAAAAAAAAAACAACAGTGCATGGGTCACACCATGAACCCAAACATGACATATAAAGTTGCATTTTACTAACTTATTGAGCAACTGTTTCCTTTAAACAGTGACATTACTGTCATGTTTCAAATTGCTTAAACAACAACAACAACAAAAAAAGAAAAATAATGTACCAAGCAGAGAACTCAACAAATAAAAATAATTAAAGGCATTATTGTACATTGGACGACATCCTCATGAAGTTCATGATCTATGTGGTCGAGGTAACGAGCTCGTTTCGGTCAAGCAGGATGCCGTTCAGATTACCAGACTTCAGAGCATCATTATCAGACTGGTGCATTGCAGGTCTGGTGTTGCTGATTGAAGCTTATTGAGAGAAAACTACAAAATAGCGGCACCTGTCTAAAGTATATATATATTTTTAAATTTCCTTTTTTGTCCTATTGGTTGGTTCCCGCTCCTGTCTGGTCCTGTTAACTTTTCATCCTGTCCCATCCCAATCCTGTGAGTTATATTAAAATTGACTCTTGTCCTACCAGAATCCTGCGGGAATCCCGTGACCTGCAGGACTCCTGAAAAATATGTAATCTTCTACATATTGATAATAACATTAAACTGAATGTCAAAGTCCATAGTCAATCATCCAGGTACAAACTCCAATAATGGTCAATCAGGTCATCTGGACAGTTTCCATCTTACCACCAGTAAACTGGTTGGTTCACTAAAGGAGTGTACTGCTTAGTGGGGAAAACAGTTTACTTGGGACTCTCAGACTGATGAAGCCCTCTGGATAGAGGGCGAAACGTCTGTCCACAAAAAAGAAACGGTCCAGATGATCTGACTGACCAATATTGGATTAAACTGAATGGATTTGGGGCAGCTGTGGCTGAGTTGGGGGTTCAATTCCACCAGCAGTCACATGTTGAAGTGTCCCTGGGCAAGACACTGTGTCCCATCAGTGTATGAATGTGATCTAAAGCTCTGATTAGTCTCTACAGATTCAGGTTATAATTGCAAAGATGTAGTAGAGTGCTGTACGAATGTGTGTGTTGGAGGTAAATGAGGACACAGATTGTGTTGTAATGAGATTTGAGTATCTTGATTAGATAGAAAGGCACTAAAACAGTACCGTTCATTCCATTTGTTGATCTATGAGGAACATGTAGACTGTTTCTCTTCTTTTAGCATTCTTTGTAATTATTGTTTTTGTGTCTTGTCAAGGTTCAAGGTTCAAGGTTCAAGGTGACTTTATTGTCAATTGCATCACGTGTTGCATGAGGTGGATCCAAATTGTGTACTCAAGGTCCCAGTTACACCAAAATAGCAAAAAAAATAGTGTAGCAATAATAATAAGAATGTTACAAGAGTATAAAAAATGTATACAATGATTTAAGACATATGCTAAACAATAATAATATAATATAATACAATGTATTAAACAGCAGCCTGAACATGAGTCTGTTGTGAGCAGATGGGTATGAATACAGCAGCGTAAAGGCAAGAGATCAGCAGCATGGATAATCAGCAGCACAGATAAAGTGTCTAGACTTAAAACATTTTTATTCAGGCAGCCTTTTAATACCTAGTAGTTATTTGGCAATCTTGTTATGTTTCAATTGCTTGTTTTTATTTTTTAACTGTCTGTTTTTTATTCTTAATTGTTTGTTTTTAACTTCTGTATTGTGCAGCACTTTGTGCACCTTTTGGCTGCTGGAAAGGGCTCTATAAATAAAGTTTGATTGACGATTGATTGATTGATTGAAGTGTCAAATGTCCAATTAAAGTGTCATTACAGTGATTATCCTGGTTAGAGATTCATGAGTCTAACAGCTTCAAGGTAGAAGCTGTTCCTCAGTCTAGTGGTTCTACACTTAATGCTCCTCAACCTCTTTCCTGAGTGTAGGGATGGCGCCATCTAGTGGGCCTTCCCCTGTCTGTACTCCCTTGTGTCTCTGCTTTGATTATCTGATTAACATCACCCGTGTCACATGTCCTGTTTGTGTATATAAAGTCTATCTGTTAGTCCTGTCAGTGCCGGTTCGTCGTTGGGTATTGACTGTCCTGTCCTGCCAGTCTGATGCTGTTTGATCCTGTTCCTGAATCTGTTTTGTAAGTTTTGCTGCCATGTCAGCCTTTTGATTTATTATTATTAAAAGCATTTTATTTCGTACGCCTGTCTCCCGAGTCCTGCCTGTGCAACTGGGTTCTCTCCTGTCCTGACCTGCCTTGAAATCCTGACACTGAGGGGAGCAGGACAAAAAGTGTGTGTGCTGGGTGAGTGGGGTCCTTCATGATGCAGGTAGCCCTCTTCCTGCATCTAGAGGTGTAGATGTCTGTGATGGTGGGGAGGCTGACTCCAACATCTTCTGTGCAGCCTTCACCACTCTCTGCAGAGCTTTTCTTTCTGCAGCTGTGCAGCCTCCATGCCACACGTTGATGCTGGAGCACAGGATGCTCTCCACTGCACACCTGTAGAAGGAGGTGAGGACTGAGCTTCCCAGTCCAGCTCATCTCAACCGTTTGAGGAAGTAGAGTCTCTGATGAGCTTTCTTGATCAGGCTGGTGGTGTTGTTGCTCCAGGTGAGGTTGTCATTCAGGTGAACACCCAAGTACTTGCAGCTGGAGACACTTCCGCCGCAGATCCTCCTATGTTCGGGGTGGGGGGTATGTTTGCTCCTTCTGAAATCCACACTCATCTCCGTCTTCTTCACATGTTCTTCACTTGTTCACAAGGTGTTCCACCTCCTGCCTGTAGCTGGACTCATCATTGTTTGTGATGCATCTCACCACCACTGTATCATCTGCAAACTTTACAATATGATAGCCTGGATGGGTAGTTGCACAATCTATATATATATAATATATGAGCAGAGTGAACAGGAGGGGGGGGGGTCAACACACAGCCCTGGGGGGAGCCAGTGCTGAGGGTTATGGTGGAGGAGGAGAAGTTGTGGATCCTTACAGACTGCGACCTGTTGGTCAGGAAATCCAAGACCCAGTTGCAAATGGAGGGGCTCATTCCTACTGTGAGTAGTTTGTCCATTAGTGTTTGGGGGATCATGGTGTTGAAGGCAGACATGAAGTCCACAAAGAGCATATGGATGTAGGAGTCTTTCTGCTCCAGGTGGGTGAGAGCAGTGTGGACCACAGAGGAGATGGTGTCTTCTGTTTATCGATTCTTGTGGTATGCATACTGGTGAGGGTCCTCGCTGGTGTTGATGGTTGCTTTGATGTGGGCCATGATGTCTTTCAAAGCATTTAGTGACTATCGGGGTGAGGGTTACTGGCCGGTAGTTATTCAGACCAGTCACTGCAGAGCTCTTAGGAACTGGGATGATGGTGGCAGTCTTCAGGCAGGTGGGAACTGTTGCCAGCGTAAGGGAGGAGTTAATTTGTTAGCCAGCACCTCACAGAGCTGATCAGCACAGTCTTTCTGCACCTTCCTGGGATGTTGTCTGGGCCAGTTGCTTTGTGAGAATTAATCCTCCTGAAGGTACTCCTCATTTCTGCTGAGGTCACTCTAGAAGGAACTCCTCTTCAGATGGTGAGATGAGTCTGGTGCAGAGTGGTCTGTCTGGGTCTTCAAAGCATGCATAGAACCTGTTAAGCACATCTGGCAGTGATGTGTCCCTAGGGTATTGTGCACCTCTGTTGTCATTGTTTGTGATGCACTTAATGCCCTTCCACGTGCTCTGTGGGTCCTGGGATGAGAAATGTCCCTTTTGGTGTTTTGTGAGATTTTGAGAAGTAGTAATTGCAATATTATAATATTTGTGTATTGTAATGTTCATGGGAGTGGACCCCAGGAAGAAATCTCTACTATGGTAAAGACTAATGAGGATCCTTAAATAAAAACACAAAAACACATTAAACAAAATCTTACAATAACACATGACATCCCACTCAACTGCATTAACAAAGTTTGGACAAAATGGCTCGAACACTATTCCTTCTTAATGTAAGTGCACTCTGGCAGATATGCATTCTTAACAAGGAACAAAATGATCTTTGGACACATGATAATAACATTTAAATAGGAATGTACTAATGCTAACAATTGACAGCCTATGTGAAAAACAACATCATGATTTAAGAGCCATAAAGATTCAAATGTAGAGGAAAACACACACACAGGTTTAAAAGATGGAAAAAAATGAAAGGAAAAAGTCTTTTCCTCTTCCATAATGCACGTGTTTCTGCTGTCTTCAGTACTTTGTGATTTCTGTCAGGTTAAAGCTCTGTAGAATTTGGCGTCACTGATCTGTATGTTATAGCAAAATGTCAGGATCTCCCTTTAAGAGAGAGATGTGAGGCGAGATGAAAGGAGCTGGTGTGAGAGCGACGAGCCGCACCGTGATGGAAGCTGACACGGTGTGTCAACCTGCTGACAAAAAGACTGACAGCAAACTAATGATACTGAGCTACTGCTGCAGGCCACCTCAGCTGTCTTTACACACTGTGTGTGTGTGTGTGTGTGTGTGTGTGTGTGTGTGTGTGTGTGTGTCTTACTTTACAGCCATCGCAGCACACTCCGTGGGCACATTGAGCCCCCTCCTTTAAGGTACAATTGTTGGCATTGCAGCAGTCATTGGAGCATTCCTGTAAATGATCAGACATAAAGTTGATTTTACAAACTTCATCTTCAACACTGAACAACTTAAAGGTCACACAGTCCAAGGTCTTCATCTCATTTCAACTTCTTCAACATTTTGTAACAAACACCAGCCAGGATCAGTGAACACAACACGAGTAGATCATCAGGGCAAGAGAAGACAGGATGACTGGCAGGTGTCAATCATGGGGACTGAAGAATAAGAAAAGTGGCCACTGAATGTCACATTTTTCAGGAGCAATGGCTGACTGATTATTATTATTTATATATTTTTTGCTGCGGGGAAAAGCAGATGTGTGTTCAGTTTGTGGTGAGGGCAGATGTGTGTTCAGTTT